CAGAAAGTCTTGATTTCAAATACCCTGGAAATGTTTAACAGCTGATATTAATAAGAGCCCAGATTGAATGCAGGGCTCTTTATCCCGGGGACATGATAAGCATCGTGACAAGTGGTGTAACTATGGCAACTTTATCTTTCCTATTTCTTTTTCCCCTGAACAGCAAGAACAGGCACCTCAGTGGATGCAGTGCCAGACTGCTCCCAGCTGAGCTCTGGGCCACTGAGGGGAAACTCAGGCAAGGCTCAGAGCCGGGGCCCAGGCTGCCCTCCTCCCCTCTCACCCATGGTGTGCTTCGTGGGCAGTTACACGTGTTTAACCAGCTCCCTTCTTGTTCTTTCCTTTTCCTCTACGGCTGGAAAAGAAGCCCTGCCTTTGCTCCCTGCCCTCAGAGCCCAGCCAAACACTCAGCCCAAAGCTGAAACTCCTCTTTTCCAGGCTGGAAGGATGCTCTCCTGGAGCAATCCAGTGATCCAGGGAGCCCAGGGGATGGAGGAGAGATGGGAGGTTGGATCTCCTGCTGCTGCAGCTCCTTCAGTGGAGCAATCCAGTGATTTCAGGGGATGGAGGTGAGATGGGAGGTTGGATCTCCTGCTGCTGCAGCTCCTTCCCTGGAGCAATCCAGTGATTTCAGGGAGCCCAAGGGATGGAGGAGGTGAGATGGGAGGTTGGATCTCCTGCTGCTGCAGCTCCTTCCCTGAAGCAGTCCCCAGCAGGGAGGGGATGTGAGCCAGCCCTGCAGGGAGCTGAGCCCTGACATTTGCCCTGCCTGGCACAGAGGGAGGCATTCCACACAGATGGGAGACAGGGAGCCAAAAGCCATGTCTTTGCCCTGATATTACAATCTCCAGATCTGACAGAATCTCCCTCACAGCATGTAAGGAGTGATAAATTAGTCAAAGGGGGAACTCAGAGCTACTGAGAGTTTGTTAAGCAAAGGTGAGAGGGACTGGTCCATGAGGTGTAGCTGTGTCTGCTCACTGCTCACCAAGATCTCCCAGGGAAAAAGACCAGATAGGAAGACAGAAAATGTAGAATCAATGTTGAATACTTACACACTAACTAATCCTTATTTCTGCTCACAGACATCCATCTCTGCACAGCTTCACATATCCCAGGCACCTCTAGCCATGAGTGCATTTTTATTCACACATCAGACTCGAAGGTGATGGTTTAAGTGCCCTCAGAATTTCAGTTTTTAAAAAAGGAAACAGTCTGACACTTCCCTGCACGCTACAATCTTGTATTGTGTAAAGTCATGAAAGGTGTGAGACAGTCTGCTGATAATTAATATGGGAGCTGGCAATTATATGAATGTACCGTCAAAAGTAATTATTTTTAGATGTAAAAAAAGAAAGTAACATGATGCCCAAATGTTCAGACAGGAGGGAATGTTCTCTTGGAGGGCTTGGAGGCAGGCTGGGGGAGCTGGGGGTGCTCACCTGGAGAGGAGAAGCTCCAGGAGAGCTCAGAGCTCTGCCAGGGCCTGAGGGGCTCCAGGAGAGCTGCAGAGGGACTGGGGACAAGGATGGAGGGACAGGACCCAGGGAATGGCTCCCAGTGCCAGAGGGCAGGGATGGGTGGGAGATTGGGAATCAGGAATTGTTCCCTGGCAGGGTGGGCAGCCCTGGCACAGGTGCCCAGAGCAGCTGTGGCTGCCCCTGGATCGCTGGCAGTGCCCAAGGCCAGGGTGCACCTCCATGCAATAATTTTAAAATAAGCACATCACCATTAGCAGGAATTTGTGACATTTAGTTTTCCAGTCAGCCATTCCAGAATCAAAATAGACGCAGTGAAGGGCTGTCAAAGTCTTTCAGTTACCAATTTTGAGTGCAAATTCTCATTTCTTAGCAGCCTCCACTGAACAGAAAATCCCTCAAGTGAGGTTAAACACGGAATATTTTCTCAGGCTGCAACTGGCCAGATTTAAAACAAAAATGACACTTCAATCCAGCCAATAATTATTCCATAGCACACACTGGAGCCTGATGAGCTACAGAGCATCTCACAGCTCAGAGCCAGAGCCTTCAAAGAGCTGATTGTCCCCAGGGCCACCTGCCTGTCCCCAGGGCCACCGGGCTGCTCCTGGCCTGGGGCTCCTGAGCAGGAGGGGAGCAGGCACGGAGCACTGGGGGCTCCTGAACCATCTCCCCTTCCCACAGCAGCCCCAGGCACTCTAAACCATGCCAGGACTCCTCTCCCAAGAGCTCCCTGCCAGAGGAACTCAGCAGCTCATTCCCCTCCAGGGAAGCTGTGCCCAGGGCAGGCAGGGACTCCACAGGGTGCTGCCAGCCCTGGCAGTGCCCAGGCTCCAGTGCCACAGGAGTCAGCACTGCCTGGTGTCTGTGTCCAGCCAGCCCCCAAAGCCTGGGATCAATCATGTCCTGTGCCCCCAAAGCCTGGGATCAATCAGCACTGCCTGGTGCCCCTGTCCTGTGCCCCCCAAGCCCTGGCACAGCTGCTGGCCATGCACACCCGTGCAGCACTGCTGGGGATGCCCCCCCTGCCCCAGGAGTCCCAGGGGAATGCAGAGCCAAGGCTCTGCCAGCCCCTGCCCAGGCCAGGACCGGGAGCTGCTCCTGCTGCCCTGGCAGCCCCAGCCTGGCTGAGGAGGTGCCAAGTGCTGCAGGCACTGCTGCAGCCCCAGCTGCAACCCTGCAGCTCTGCAGAGCCTCAGCTGCTTCCTTGCCTTGCCCACTGATGGACAATTCCTGCCTTGCTCCCTGATGGACAATTCCTGCCTTGCTCCCTGATGGACAATTCCTGCCTTGCCCACTGATGGACAATTCCTGCCTTGCTCCCTGATGGACAATTCCTGCCTTGCCCACTGATGGACAATTCCTGCCTTGCTCATTGATGGACAATTCCTGCCTTGCTCCTTGAGGAACAATTCCTGCCTTGCTCCCTGATGGACAATTCCTGCCTTGCTCCCTGATGGACAATTCCTGCCTTGCTCCCTGATGGACAATTCCTGCCTTTCCCACTGATGGACAATTCCTGCCTTGCTCCCTGAGGGACAATTCCTGCCTTGTTCACTGATGGACAATTCCTTGCCTTGCCCACTGATGGACAATTCCTGCCTTGCTCCCTGAGGGACAATTCCTGCCTTGTTCACTGATGGACAATTCCTGCCTTGCTCCCTGATGGACAATTCCTTCCCTGGCACTGCCAGGAGCCGTTTCCAAGCCTTGCATTCCCTCCAGAGCAGAGGGGCCTGTTTGTCACTCCCAGGAAACAACCTGCAGCGTTCCAAACCCATCTCCCTGCGCATCACAGCAGAAATTGATACAGCCACGTCAGGCTCAGCTCTGTTCATCCCTGCTACAAACACCTTCCAGCAAAACAAGTGTCAGTTCACAGCCAGGCTGATGTTTTCCTGCTCCCCAGCTTTGTTTCTCACACACGGCATCGTTTCATGCTGCTCGTTGCTTTGTATTCCCGGGAGGACAAATCAAAGCAGCGAGCAGGGCTGCAGGAGCTGGAGCAGCAGTGCTGGGGCACAGATGGAAAACAACCTGGAGCAGAGGAGCACTGGCAGCACCAGCACAGCCCCAAAGCACCCCTGGCTGTGGCATTTTCAAAGCTTTTCTGGACCAAAGTTTAAAATCTGCTTAAAGAATCTGAGTGGCTAGTTGCTTTTTATAGGACTTGGATGACAGAGTTATTTGTGTGCCTTTGTAGAGAGAAATTCCTTAGATTATTTCCATTATTACATGGAAAAAAAAAATAGAATCTGAGCTCCTAATTATCTTTTGTGCCACTTAAAAAAAAAAAAAAAGTTTTATTTAAAAAACCGATTTGTTCTGAGATTTAGGTGTCTTCCATCTCTCTCTTTCTCATCTCCTTCCTTTATCAATTTCACCTTCACAGAGCTGCCCTTCCCTGTCTCCTCTTCCATTTGCAGTAATGTTTGAGTGGCCCCTTTGTCCCATGTCCCCCAGTGCTGCCCTTGGGTGCTCGGGGTCATCCCGGGGTTCATGGGGAGCTTCAGCCCCCCATCCCCTCTGCCCGAGCTGGGAGTTGGCATAATGGCCCTGATTCAAATACAATAAAAACCAATTTGAGCTCTCAGGAGGGCTGAATTGATGCTGGAGCTGGGGCAATTTACACCAGCCAGAGATATTGGTAATTTCTTTTCCTGTGACTCAGAGACTCAATTCAAGTAACACTCCAACCTTTGCTGATAGAAGTTCTCGCCTATTAGGGCCCAGCTAAACATTCTGAAGGCTGAATACAGTGATTTTCCAGCCCTCAGTGCACAGCAGCACAGGAAGCAGGTCAGGTACAAGCTTTTGTAGCAGGGCAAAGCCCCCTGGGCGCACAGGGAGCTGTGAGAAATGCTTATTAACGCTGGCCATCACCTCTCTCCAGCATCAAAGGCTTCCTGACTCCTCTGGGAAGCAGGAATTCCTGGCTGGTGCAGCCACAAGGCCAAAGGAGCTCACACATCACCGATCCCCACCAGGCAGCCACAGCACGCAGGAACAGCCAGCCCTCAAAAATTGTTCACTGCTGCTTGCACCAAGGCAGAGCACCGGGCTGCGTGGGGCAGGGCAGCTCTGGAGAGGGGAGGGATGCTCACTGCTGGGCTCAGGGTCTCTCTGCTGCCAGGCAGCCCTGCAGCTGCTGGGGAGGGCTCAGAAAAAAAGTGGTAGCTGTCACATTGGGGCCAGAATTAGCTTCTGATCATTTGTTTGTTCGTTTTTAAACAAATATCTCCATCCTCAAAGGTTTTAGTGGGATCCAGCTCCAGTGGTGGGAAGGAGGAGACCACCCAGAGCTGGTGCCACCCACGTCAGGGTCTCCCTTTCCCAGGCAAACCCCCCATGGAAGCTTTTGGTAACGGGTTTGTGAACAATTTTTAAGTTAGATATCTTTTGTAACACATCTGCACTAAGGAACATTGCTAACACAATTATGTATATAATAAAAATAGTCACAATAATCATAATCATAATCATAATTTGAGAATAAAACAAGAAAAGCTCGGTTTTCCTTACCTTTTTGGAAAGCAGGCAAAAGCTATACAGTAGGTGGAAGAGTGTACCAAGTAACAGACTTTTGAACACTCTTTCTTACTGGTGGTATGGAGTCTACAGGGAAATAAATACATTGAATGTAGGACAGGTCTGGGCACAGGAGCACCCCCAGGCTGCCCTGCCTGAGTCCCTGCACTGTCTGCCCAGACTGGGGCACTGGGAGGCAGCAGCACACGGCAGCCCTGGCAGCCAGGGGGGCAGCCCGGGGGGCTCAGTACCCCCAACCACCCAGCCCAGGCTTCCCTTCCCCGCCCTGAACCAGCTCTGGGACATTCTGCAGCTCCACACCCGCTGGCCTGTCCTGTCCTGTCCCTCCTGAGCCCCAGAGGCACTCACAGGTTCCCTGGCAGCACCAACAGCCATTTGAGTGTTTTCCTCATGTGTTCCTCATGTTTTCCTCATGTTTTGGCTGCATCACCAACAGCCATTTGAGTGTTTTCCTCAGGAAGGGGAAGGAGTAATCACAATAAATCTCAGCACAAGTTAAGTGTGGGATCTCTCCCCGTCTGACACTGCTCTGGCAGCACAAACTGGAGCAGAGAGCCCAGCAGGGCACTCCACCTCAGGCTCCACCAGGACCATCTCCCCAAAGTGTGCAATTCCAGCACACAGGGCACAGCACACTGATGCCAGGGCCCCAGGTCCTGCCTGTGCCAGCTGTGCCCCAGCAGGGAAAGCTGTGCAGTGACAGCAGGCACATGCCAGATGGCAAACAGGAATGCTTAGGAGACTTTTCCTGAATGGATTGAAGGCTTGGCCCTCACCCAGGGTGTGGCTGGGAGCTCAGCCTGTGGCACTGCTGCTTCCCCAGAGCTCCCAGGCAATGTTCTCAGAGCCAGCCCGTTCTCCTGGGGCTGGGAGGTGAGCTCTCTGCATTTCCAGGGGCTCTCCTCTCATGGCAATCGGTGCCTTCTTTGGGACTCCTCCAGACCCCTCTCCCAATGCTTGGCACGTTCTTTTCTGAGCCTAAATCCCAGCAGATTGGCCCAGAGTTGTGAGCAGTGGTTCCATGGGAGGAGGACCCCCTGCTCCTGGGAAGCCTCTCAGCAGTTCACAGCCTTCAGCCTGACAAGCACATCTTCAGCCCTGCCACAGAGGGGCTGGGTGGAGGAGACCCCAAATCCCATCAGTGCCCCCCTGCCATGCAGGGACCCCTCCCACTGCCCCAGCTGCTCCAGCCCCAGTGCCCAGCCTGGCCTGGGCACTGCCACAGGCACCCCGTGCCCCAGAGCCATCGGGGAGGAGCAGCGCCAACCCACAAAGAAATATTGAAATAACATCCCTGGGTTTTCCTCTGAGACAAGATCTTTGAGATTTTTTTTTAAATTGCTCTAAGAATTGGTGCATCAAGGACAATTTGTAATTCACATTTCCTATTTTCTGATTGCTAAAACTCTGGGAATTTCCCTATTCACAGTATAAAACATATTTAAAGTGAAATTGCTACAAAAACATCAAACCCATTTTTATGTATGAAGAGTTTTGCTTGGATGTTACGACTTTTTTTTTTTTTAAGCTCACTAATACAATTTTCATTTTTTTCCACCTAAAATGGAACTGTAAACAATTTTAATTCAACAGAATATTCAAACTTTAAAAAAGAAACTGGGTTCAGGTTACACACAGTCACGGCTGATGCCTGACCAGGGGGCTGATCAATAACCTGATCAATAACCTAATCAATGCTACAGGACAGTGACTGCAGCAGTTACACTGGGACTAATGCACCCCACAATTTTAAAACTTTCATTTGGTTTTCTAATAACTGTTATGAACACACAGACCTGGGAATGAACGAGCAGCTGGTGCAGCTGAGACCATGAACAGAGGGAATTCTCTATCAATCATGAAAACTTTTTAAAAATACGTATTTCACAAATGATAAAAAAGGAGTAAAAGCTTATAAACCAGAAACTCAGAGACTGCACATTTCCTAACAAACACATTTATCAGCTTTAAAATCCCACTCGGCACATCTGGGCAAGCCAGGGGCCTCTGCCCCTAGTGCCCCTTAAAAACATGTCCTGGTCTACAGCCCTGGGCTGAAAATGGGGTGTTTGACCAGAAACATGGGGCTTAGGTGAGCAGCATTTATTTTTAGTAAAAATATTTCCTTCCCAAAACAAAATGTGGCTGTTCTTTGGTGGGAGGGGAGAATATTCTCAGAAGTCTGAAACCAGCAATAAGAGGCAGCATGGGAGGATGAGGGCAGGAGGGACCCTGGGGTGGCATGTCCCCAGGCTGGGCTCCCACAGAGAACATTGCAGCATCACAGCTTGGCTGCTTTTCTGTTTTGGTCAAGTTTTGGCATGGAATTCTCAGATTTGGGGTTTTGTGGGGGAGAAACTAATTCCAGCTTAGTTGATCCAAACCGTGGCTAGTGAAGTGCACCAGCAACACACTCCCCTGCCCTGGCCCAGCTGGATTTCAAATTCTCTTTTCCTCCCTTCCCTTCCTGAAATTTGCCTTGGCAGAGGGCCCTGAGTGTCACTGGGTAACCCCAGGGCAGGAATTCCATTTATTTCCTCCTGCTCTCAGGGCTCTGTCCACTACAGCTGCAAGAGGCCTCATCTCATTTGTGAGAACCACTTGGTGGCTCTGTCCATGGTTCTGCACCCTGTCCAGCTTCCAAGGAGGAATTTCGTTTTTCCAGCTGGAATGTATTTTGTACAGCTGCACGATCAGACATCAGAGAGAAATCCTGCAGGGTGAGCAGGGGGAGGAAAAGTGCTGCATCAGGGATCTGCTGCCTGCTCCCACCCTGCTCTGACAGCAGAGCTGCTGCTCCAGGCAGGAATTCCAGCAGCAGCAATGAGGCAGGAATTCCAGCAGCAGCAATGAGGCAGGAATTCCAGCAGCAGCAGTGAGGCAGGAATTCCAGCAGCAGCAGTGAGGCAGGAATTCCAGCAGCATTAGAGCCAGGAATTCCAGCAGCATTAGGGGCAGCAATTCCAGCAGCAGCAGTGAGGCAGGAATTCCAGCAGCATTAGAGGCAGCAATTCCAGCAGCATTAGGGGCAGGAATTCTAGCAGCATTAGGGGCAGGAATTACAGCAGCATTAAAGGCAGGAATTCCAGCAGCATCACTGAGGCAGGAATTCCAGCAGCACTATCAGGAGAGGATTCCAGCAGCATTAGGGGCAGGAATTCCAGCAGCATTAGGGGCAGGAATTCCAGCAGCATCACTGAGGCAGGAATTCCAGCAGCATTAGAGGCAGGAATTCCAGCAGCAGTGAGGCAGGAATTCCAGCAGCATTAAAGGCAGGAATTCCAGCAGCAGTGAGGCAGGAATTCCAGCAGCACTATCAGGACAGGACCAGAAGGGATTCCAGCAGCAAACGGATCAGTGGAGCAGGGGCAGGGAAAGGGCATTGCTCCACATTCAGGGCTGCTCTTGCACAAGAGCTGCAGACGTGCCCAGACCCTTGCAGCCCGCTGCCGAGCCCTGCAGCTGTCTCCTTCCCCAGCTCCTTCCAGATTCAAATGCAAATCAGACTTGATGGCCTCAGTCTGTAATTTGGTGCTGCGCTATCCTCTACTATGCACATTAAGGAAACTAGAAGTGTCTTTGCCATCTATTTTCCTTTTCAATCGGTGGCAAGATTTGCATTAAGGCCAGATAAAATCCCTAAATGGGAATCTTCAGGGGCCGTGAGGTTTTTGCAAAGCAACTTTGCAGGAAGCAGGATGAAAACCGGGGTTAGCAGAGTCACTGATGAATTTGGTGCTCGCCTGGGAAGCAGCCCTGGGTGCTGCAGGGTTCTGTGCCCAGGGCTGGGCTGTTCCCTCACCCCAGAGGGGAAGCAGGGGAGCAGGAGCCACCACAGCCCCAAAACCATTCCAGAGGTGCTGGGGCAGGGCTGGGGCCCGGCCTGTACTCACTGCTGGGGCTCACACCCAGCTCATACTCACTGCTGGGGCTCACACCCACCCCATACTCACTGCTGGGGCTCACACCCAGCCCATACTCACTCCTAGGAGCCCAGCCCACCCCGTACTCACTGCAGGGGCTCACATCCAGCCCATACTCAAAGCTGGGGCTCACACCCAGCCCGTACTCACTGCTGGGGCTCACACCCACCCTGTACTCATTGCTGGGAGCCCAGCCCGTACTCACTGCTGGGGCTCACACCCAGCCCGTACTCACTGCTGGGGCTCACACCCAGCCCATACTCACTGCTGGGAGCCCAGCCCAGCCCGTACTCACTGCTGGGGCTCATACCCAGCCTGTACTCACTGCTGGGGCTCATACCCAGCCTGTACTCACTGTTGGGTCTCACACCCAGCCCGTACTCACTCCTAGGAGCCCACCCCGTACTCACTGCTGGGGTCCACGCTCTCGCAGAGCTCGGTCCTGGCCTCGCCGTTGGGCCGGTCGCTGGCCTTGTGCGACAGGCGCGAGGACATGGTGGCCGCCGTCACCACCGCCTTGAAGCTGCGCTTGCGCTTCTGCACGTTGAGCTCGGGGTGGAAGATGATGATGTAAACCTTGGGCATGTAGAGCATCCCCAGCGCCACCGACGCGCTCAGGTTCATGGAGATGGTGAGCGTGGTGGTTTGGATGTAGAGCTGCGGACAACAGAGAGGGGTTACGGGCCGGGCCGGGCTGCAGCGCCTCACACACACATAAACACACACTGGAAAGGGATTTTAACCTGCCTGGGTGTGTCACACACCAGGGCAGGGCTGCAGCGCCTCACACACACATAAACACCCGCTGGAAAGGGATTGTAACCTGCCTGGGTGTGTCACACACCAGGGCAGGGCTGCAGCACTTCAAACATAAATACCCACTGTAAAGTCATTTTTAACCAGTCTGCATGTGTTACACATCTGGCCTGGCCAGGCTGCAGCAGTTCAAACACAAATACCTGCTGGAAAGGGATTTTTAACGAATGTGCACACATTACACATCGGGCCTGCAGCAGTTCACACACAAACACCCCTTGTAAAGTAATTTTTAACCAGTTCACACACGTTACACACCACCTGGCCAGGCTGCAGCAGTTTACACACACTCACACACCCATTTTACACTGATTTTAGCCATTTTGCAGTGTAGATGTGCGAGCTGGGACCTTTCCCTGCAGGCACCGTGATGTGATGTCCCAGGAAATGCCCCAATGCCCTCCCTGATCCACCACCACCTGATCCTCAGTGCTGGAGGCTTCCAGCGGCCTGGACACAGTCCCACAGCAAACTATGGCACAGCTTTCTTCATTTATTTAGAGTGCAGGTCAGATTTGGACTGAATAATTCTGATATAAACTAGGGTTTAGCTGAGCTGTAAGTTATAGAACAGAAGCTATAATAACACCGGTGACTTTCAGAAACACTGATGAAGGTGGGATTTTCTTGCTTTAACCGTAATTTAATTCTCTACAATCCACTGAAATAGCTTTGCAGAGGGTACACAACAATTTCTGTGCTCGTGCTACTCAGCTGTGCTCGTTACTGTGAAAAATATATTTATGTTCACAATATAAAAATTGTGAACAAAACAAAAAAATATATATTTCACAATATGTTATTGTGAAAAAAAATATTTTCAAGTAAGAGAACCGGTACTGAGATTATTCAAAGAAACCACAGGGATTAAAAAATGTACTCTGCAAATATACAGGGGTAGAAAAGCCTTTGTTACCCCCTTTTTTTTGAACTGTCTTTTCAGAGGACACACGTAACAGATAAACCAGAACAATTCTCACGACTTCAGGGGAATCAGCACAATTAAAGGGCACAGAGGCAGCACAGTACAGGTGAGAGGGAGCTGAAGAGGCAGCAGCACCTCTGCAGATCCTGTTCAGAAATTCAATATCCAGGAAATCCAGAGAGGTGGGAAAAGCAGCACACACTGAGGGGATTACTCAGAACCCTCTGTCCTCTTCTGCTCCCACTCAGTGCCCGAACTCTGAGAGAACACAAATGTCTCAGTGCCCATCAGCCCAAATCTGAGAAAACACAAATGTCTCAGTGCCCATCAGCCCAAATCTGAGAAAACACAAATCGGTCCAGCATCATCCAGGGCTGCTTCAAAGGCTGCCCAGCACAGCAGCAGCTCATGGGAGTTGGGTTTTATTTTATTTTTCCTGCTGGAAAGGGGTCGAAGGTGAGGTGATTATTTAATCAAAGGGGTCTTTGGCAGCACCTCACCGCAGTTCCCACCTGGCAAATGCTGATGGGAGATAAAGCAGAGGGAGAAAAGAGCGATTGTAGAACAAGGAGGGATGAGTGACACACAAAGCATCTCATGACAAATGGGAGCAGCCTAAAGATAAGGGAAACTAATAGATATGCTTATTATGCAGAGCCTTAGTTTTATGTGTTTTATCTCTGCTTTGTGGTTTTACCAGTCAGACATAAAAATGCAGTTTACGTGAAACTATTTCATTTCTTATTTCACTTCTTCTGATAAATTCTGGGGAAGCATTTTAGATGAATGCAAATGGATGACTTAAAGTACAAAGGATCAGATTTAACTGACAATGGGACTCTAATAACTCATGCGTGCCTTTTACAGCTGGCTGCTGAACCTGGCAGCTCCCAAACCTGAGATTAAATGAAGAAATTAAGATGCAGATTTAGCGAGAGATGCTCGAACTTGACACGAATGAGAACTGGGACTGAGCTTACTCAGCTCTGGGGTGACACAGCTGTGGCCTGGAGGAGCTCCAGGAACCTGGAGAGGGCATTTAGCAGGGCTGGAGGGACAGGGCACAGAGGGCAGGGATGGAGGGGATATCGGGAATTGTTCCCTGGCAGGGTGGGCAGGGCTGGGATGGAATTCCCAGAGCAGCTGTGGAACCCCTGGTCCCTGGCAGTGCCCAGGCCAGGCTGGACACTGGGGCTGGAGCACCTGGGACAGTGGGAGGTGTCCCTGCCATGGCAGGGTGGCTCTGATGGCATTTTAGATCCCTTCCCATGACTGGAAGTGTTGCCAGAGGAAATCCAGGCTTCCCAGAACCAACCTGGAGTTGGTCTCCCAGGACCATCCCCTGCAGGGTTTGAAGCCATACCTGCTAGGACAGGAGTTCAAACCCTCCTGAAGGGTCACCCTGCTCAGATCTCCTCTCTCTCAAGAGACTGACTTTTGGCAGATTTTAATTTCACACACTGCATTGCAAATGCAGCGACTTTGAAGCAGGCACTGGAGAAAACCCAACCCCGAGGACATCATTCACATGCAAAAGCACCTAGATTTTATCACTGCTTTTACATAAGTGATTTCCATTTGAATTTTAGATTTTTATGTTTTCCGGATTCTTGCTTTATTCATGCAAATCACAAAAATCGTCTTCAAGACCTTGAGAGAAAATTGGACTGGTCTGGAATACACACATCTAATAAGGGGCAATTTTTCTAGAACAAAATACATCCATGGCTAATTCTGCATGAACTGTGATTTCTCTGGGAAGCAAAGCACTGCAGGATCAGGCCTCTGTCTCTGCCAGCCCAGGAGAGATTTCCAGCTGCTGGCCAGAAGAACTGAACTTACAGTTTGTAGAACAACTTAACTCAGAGCTGCAGAGCTTTGAAAAGTCCCTTTAGGAGTCACAAACCCTTTTTGCAGGCTAAAGCTTTGCCTTCAGACAAATCAAGAGCAACTGCTCCTCTTCTCTAATTCAGCTTTCTAATTATGCACTGAATTGTGTTATGTTGCAATATGGAAATA